GGTTTGGGGTTTGGGGTTTGGGGTTTTGGGTTTACGGAGGCTTCGCTCAGTTGGATACGAACCCTCATTGCCGTCACCTCGGATCACACGTTGATGTCGGTTCAGGTGGAATGTCTTTGCCCAAAGGGGTCACACCTGTGGCAGCTGGCTTCGCGGCTGTTGTGGCAGGGAGCCCAGCTAGCTTTACCGGCTTTCGGGATGCTCTGAGGCTCTGAGTTTGAGGATTCAGGGTTTCGGGTTTCTAGGCTTTAGGGCTATGAGTATCCCGGATACCGACGAAGGTGGGCTGGACCTTTGCTTGAAGGCAGAAGACCCGAGACCGCAGTCCTTGAATCCCTCGACCCTTGCACATTGCTTCTCAACCCGCAAACCCAAAGGAACCCTGAAAGTTAACTCCTAATTACCCTAGACCCAAAGCCCCATGGCTTATGCCCCGAATCTGGAGTGGCAGTGACTGCATAGAGGCATGACGTGTCAGCCTTAACTATACTCATAACCTTACTTAGAGTACATAGAGCCCTACTTATAACTACCCATTAACCTCCAAGTATCCCCTATAAACCCTATGCCCATGTCTGATCTGCAAGTCCGCAAACCGGCTTTCCATGTCCGCTGCCATTTTCTCCAGTTTTTCAATAATGCCTGGCTGCGGGCCTTTATCACGCTAGGTTCACGATGGGGTGCGGGTCAAGCTGTGTCAACCAGGAGTTGAGACCCTGTTTCATTCCTTCACCGCCGCGGGATGCCACGCACCCAAATCGGGCCATCCACCAGCTGTATGTTCAAGAGCTCGACACCTACCTCATCGATGTGGCTAGGTACCCGCAAGCGTTCGAGCAGAAAGTGGCAAAACGTCGCGTGGGATACTTGGACTAAGCTTCAAGCACTGCTGCGTGATACTGCATGAATGAAAGCTGCATTTGGAGTGCACTGCACATTCAGGGCGGCCAAGCGTGACTGGCTGTGAGTCAAAAGCATGATTATCCTTCATGTCAGTCGGGGCTGAGTATGCTGGGAAATACAGAGATTTTTTCAAGCACTGCGAGCGGTACGTTGCCTTTTGAAGGGCCGTAGGACTTATCAGTGATCCCGCACAGCACTATGATTGGCAAGAGCCAATTTTCAGCTGCGGACCGCGGGTCTGTCATCGGCGAAGCCGACGTGCGACGCGGTCAGCACTCTATTGATTGTTTTGCTACGAAGCCTGCACCATTGTGGTGGTTCTATGTGTCACAAGCAAGACTTGCGCCGCATCTCCAGCAGAAGTACCTTTACACGGAACTACCTTTAGCACCTCTCACAACTCTTATTGCGCAGTCTCCGTGAGGATCCACCACCCTCCTACTCGCCTGACATTCCGAGTCCTTTCCTCCCAGAAGCAGCTCGTGATGCCTGTTCTGGGTTCAAGCTTGAAGGAGCCGATTAAGTCAGCAACATGTTTACCCTAAGGGTCCATGTACCTAAATGAGGAATACTTGGGCCGTAAAGTAGCCAAGTATATAATAATAAGGTACATGGACCCTCAGGGATATGTCAGCCTGTTCTGTCTTGGAAGCTGCTAAAAGGACTTGTTGCCAGAGGAGGAAACGAATTATGGCTATGCCCTCAGGCCTTACAAATTTTCTTGTTTATCAGTTCGACTGATGTACCCATCTAAACGAGACCATGCTGGCGAACGAAAAATGAGCCGCTGCCCTGTGCGTACTTGGCATGGCACAGACCGTTGACATTGCGAATAATGACGGGCAAAGTTTGGGTTACTTGCCTCAGTTCCAAGCTTGAAATGGGGGTTATGCCTGTCTGCCTAGACCCCTACCATAAGAACCCCCAAAACCCACTTTTTTTTGTAGGTTGTGAGCATGCATCCCCTTATGGAATTCTGAGGAACCCTACAAGCAAGGTAGCTTGTGGGTTCTGAAGGTAAACCTGAAACCCTAAACCCCAAACCCCAAACCCTAAACCCTAAACCCTAAACCCTAATCCCTAAACCCTAAACCCTAAACCCTCTTGATGTTGATAGGGGGGCAAAAAACCAGAGAATTCAAGCGCCAGCACGGACTCGAAGTGAAGCCTTGGTTTAGGGTTTGGGGTTTAGGGTTTAGGGTTTAGGGTTTAGGGTTTAGGGTTTAGGGTTTAGGGTTTGGGGTTTGGGGTTTGGGGTTTGGGGTTGGGGTTTGGGGTTTAGGGTTAGGGTTAGGGTTAGGGTTTAGGGTTTAGGGTTTAGGGTTGGGTTTGGGGGTTTCAGGTGTTCTGGGGTTTGGGGTTCGGGGTTGGGGTTTGGGGGTTGGGGGGTTCGGGGTTTGGTGGGTTGGGGTTTGGGGGTTTGGGGTTTAGGGTTTAGGGTTAGGGTTTGGGGTTTGGGGTTTGGGGGTTGGTTAGGGGTTTGTGGTTTTTGGGGGTTGGGGGTTCGGGGTTTGGGGGTTGGGGTTTGGGGGGTGTGAGGTTCGGGGTTGAGGGTTTGGGGGTCGGGGTTTGGGGGTTTGGGGTTTGGGGTTTGGGGGAGGGTTCGGGGTTTGGGGTTTAGGGTTGGGGTTCGGGGTTTGGGGGTTTGGGGTTTGGGGGTTTGGGGTCGGGGTTAGGGTTTGGGGTTCGGGGTTTGGGGGTTTGGAGGTGTGGGGTTTAGGGATTGGGTTTAGGGTTTAGGGTTTAGGGTTTAGGGTTTAGGGTTTAGGGTTTAGGGTTTAGGGTTTAGGGTTTAGGGTTTAGGGTTTAGGGTTTAGGGTTTAGGGTTTAGGGTTTAGGGTTTAGGGTTTAGGGTTTAGGGTTTAAGGTTTAGGGTTTAGGGTTTAGGGTTTAGGGTTTAGGGTTTAGGGTTGGGATTTAGGAATTTGAGGGTTTTAGGGCTTTGGGGGTTTGGGGGGTTTTAGGGGCGTTAGTGGTTCTAGGGCTTCTAGGGGTTTAGGGATTGAGGGTTTTGGGGTCTAGGCTTTGGTTTTTTTGGGTTTAGGAGTTTTGGGGTTTTGGGTTTGGGGGTTTGGGGGTTTGGGGGGTTTGGGGGT